CCCTAACTCCGACTCCATTTCTACGCATATTTTTACTGCTCTCTCTTTCTCTCTCTCTCTCTCTCTCTCTGACTTTTTCTCTTATTCGCGAGAAACTTTCAACATTATTTACATCGTTATATAAGTATTTGGAGAAACATATACATATATATATATATACATTTTATATACGCACTTGCTTAAATACGACAACTGTTGTCCTTGATTCCTCTTTGTCTACTCATTGTATTCTAAATTATGCGTAGTTTGCCCACTTTTCCCCCGGGTGCCAACACCTTAGCCAACGAAAGAAATCAATGGAACTACTCAACGAGTAGCATTTCCATTTGCTCTTACCTCTTAACAATTTACATACTTGACATGTTCTTGCTTGGTTTATTTTTAGAGTGTACATTTAACATATTTTTCATTTATTTTTGTTTTTATTTTTCGTTTGGCTGATTTTCGGCCATTTTTCCTTGGCTGCGCACCAAACAAATGCAAAAAAAAGAGGATTTAAATAATAAATAAAAATTATTAATTAAATAAATTGATAAAATGATATTTAATTATTTATTTATTGTAGACTAAATGCATTCCACAAACCTTAATATTTATTTTTAACAAAATAAAATTGTAAAGCTAAAAAAATTAGAAATATATTCTTTACAGCCAGAAGGAATAGTTAAGTTCAAGTTTAAAATATATGAATGTAGAAATGAAACTTATTTACTACAAATAAACAAGAACTCTTATGCCAAATCTCAACTTATAATCAATTAATTTCAGGGATAAACATTTAAAATCAATCTTAATACAATTTCCTACTCTAAATAATTTATACCTAATGACTAGTTCCATATAAAATTGGCTTTAGCTTGTAGCATTATGAAAAAAACAAACAAAAAAAACCAAAAAAAATCAAAAACCACCAATCGGAAATTAAATTTGATTGAGTTTCGTTAATTTTCCATTCCGATCACGTGCACCGCTTACAATTATTGCTTTCACAGTGTGTCAAAATATTTGCAAACCCAAATATATTCATTTTTGGCTTGACTCATTGTTTATATTGTAGCATGTGAATACATACATACATACACACGTACGTGAATGTATGTATGTATGCACTATTTATGCAATTTGTTAAGATGCATTTGTGTTTATTGAGCAGCTATGCAAAAACGACGAAAATTGTAAAGTAATTGTCATTAATTTGCATTTTGCTATTGCATTGCCACAAAGCGGAAAAAACACAGAGCAACACACAAATTTATAGTTCGGCTCCGCAATGCAGCTCAGGGATTATGTGGTATGTTTAGTTAACACTACTAAAGTATTTTTAGTCGGTGGTAACCGCTTGCTTTCTGTAGTCTTAGCATTAGTCACAGCTTACAACAACAACAGCAACAACAACAAAACAGGGAACAATTAGATTCGATAATAGCAACAGCATTAGCAACAATTCTATTTGACAAAGTGTCAGAAAGAGATATCTGATTCATTTTCATCTTTGACAAGTCTTTCATTTCTGTCTGTCTGATTGTGCAGGCAAAAACAAAAGCCATGGAAAAAAAAGAAAAGAAAATTGCTTTGCCTCATTTGCATTTTAAAATCACATGGACAACATTTGCATAGCATTAGGTTAACAACTGTTAACTCTTTAGAATCAGTAGTTTATTATCTGTACTTGTATACTCTGTAATCATCAAACGAGTTGAAAAGTGGTTGAATAAACTAAAGGCCTTTTATGTATCAGGTGGATGGCGGTATCATCACCAACCCTGCAAAGCACTCAAATTCTTCCTCAGCCAAGCCTGTCTATTCGTCAATATGATTCAGATATCACACAGAGTAGAACAGACAGAAACACCAAATTTAGTGTGAATATTGTATACACTCAGAGAAAAAATGACCAGAAGTGGAAATGCCAAACCCCAGTTAAATATATTATTTTCACTTAATCAAAAAAAAAAAAAAAAACACACACACACAAAAATAAATATAGAAATATAACGTTATTTTTTCAATGATAAAATAAGGTAAAGTAAGGCGATTTATTGAACTTAAGGCCAAGTTTTTTTTGAGTGTATCAACAGCATACAAAGTCATTTTACTTCTGGATACCTCCACCCACAACAGCATTCTAAAAAAAAGAATGAAAGTAAATAAATGCAAACCGAAGGCAAAAATTGGTGGTAATCGCTTTAAAAATTGTTAGTTGTTGTTTTCTTCTTTCTTTTTTTTGCTGCTGATCTTAAGTTTATTGTGGTTTACATGCACTTTTCTTAGAACAATGAGAATATCATATTAGTGTCTAGGTTAAGAATTATCCTGCAAATAGCATGTATATAAATATATAAATCAAACAATTGTTGGCATCGTAAAATTGTAATATAAATTAAATGATATTGTCGCATAGTAAGGTTTTATTTCAGACTTGAACTTAAAAAAAAATAGACGTTTATTTTTTAAGCATAGCTGTATTTTCAGGCCCTTTCTTTGGACACTTGTCAATTTGTAAATAATTGTAGCTATAGTTATTATTTTCATTGGATAGTTAGGAGTTGCACGTTTAGAGTCTAGAGTTAACATTTTATATATCGATGCACAGTGATTGCATATCATGGTGGGCATCGGAAAATACATTTATTGTTGGGCATTAGTATTTTTGAAGTACATATTTACGTTATGTTTCGAATATAGAATACTACTATCAAAAATAGAACAAAGGAAACTTCACGTTTAGATTTTGTTAGTTTATTTACTATTTTGTTTACTAATTTTTACAAATATCTTGTAAATGTTTTTTCTTTTTTTTAATTTATTTGTATTGTATATTTATTTTTATTAGGATTTTTTTTTTCTTGTACACATTCATTGTATATAAATAGTTCTGCATGTTGTTGCTGCGGTGGGAAGAGAGAAAAAAAATGGGGCACAACAACAACATGAGCAACAACTTGAACAACGACAACAATGACAACAACAGTTGTAACTAACACGAGCAAAAAATGGACATGTAAAAAACTAGAACAACATTTAATCACTAAATAAGTTTCTTTTATATATTAGGACCAATAACGGTCGCATTGACTTGTAAATAGTTAAAATACCATTCAAATGTATACATATATATAATGTTTTATATGTATTATTATTATACTAGAATATTTTGATATGGGAATAGTTATGTTTGAATGTATATATTTAGCATTGAAAGTGAAAGTTAACTTTGGGTTACCGCACAGATTTCAAGTATTGTTCAAAAACACACATGGAAATCTAGATACGTTAATTGGGCACATTGATATAGAAGTACATTCGGTACATGCATACATATATATTTATATTCATTCATATAAAACATATATACACTTGTGTATAAGTGCGTAGTTCTTGCAAAAATACATACACAAGTAAATAAGAACATTTGTAAGCGAGTAGATACAGATACAGATACAGATACAGACACAGGTATGTGGTATACAACTTTTCACCTGCATCTCTTCCGCAGAGTGTAGATTATTCGATTCGTACAAATTTGTCAATAGAACCAACCATATATATATGTATATATATATATACGTATTTATGTGTCTCAGTGTGTATATATATATATGTGTATGTATGCATATAGAAGTGCAAGAATATTGTATACCTATAAGAATGATTGAAGCATACTTGATTGATTGCAATATTGACTGATTGTTTGTTGTTTGTCTTTTCCATGCGTTTCTACCAAAAATTGCCAGTTCCTTAAAGCTCTCAAATTTTGTATTTTTCCTTTGCGTTTGCCTTTGCCTTTGCATAATTCAATAAACAAAGTTATCCATGCAATTTGCTATCATTATGAATGCCACACAGCCCACTTCGACTCAACACAGCCCTAAACTTGAGTTCGAATTTGAGTTGGATGACATGCATATTGATGTATTGATACATATGTACAAGTAGTAAATGCATGTATATTTCATATACATACAACATTTAACATCAATAAAAACTTACGATTGCATATTCATTTAATTTGATATTAATTAGCATTTTGGTTATTAATGTGTTTCTTTTAGTAAGCTCAAATTGCACATAGTTACAGTTAAATCATTCAATTCGTAAGTATTACATGCAAATTACAATTGCTGTACGACCTACAATTCTCTGGCCAAATGCCCAATGATACACTATTCTACACACATGTATGTATGTATGTCTCAATGTACATATGTGTATTAAATATACTTGAATATTATTCAAGTTAGTATTATTATTATTAATATTATAATGGAACCTTACGACCGTCTCTCAGTTTCTCTGTTTATGGATTCTGCATTTAAGATTTACACGCATCTCAAGTGCGAAAAACCAAGAAAAAAAAAATAATAAAACGTCTACAATATATCCCATTAGGAACCGCTACACAGGGTCATTGCACACTTATAACATTTATATTCATTATTCAATTGTACTCAATATATTTATTTAGCTTAAGCTGAACCCAACGTATTCGATTGTATTCTTGCTGTATATTTTCGTATTTGTATATTTATATATATGCATATAGATATTTTATTTTGTTACTTTGTATATGTATCGGTTTCTGTATATGCATAGCTGGATATGGGAAACTTTATATATTTTGTTTGTTTCGCATTATTCATTATCTAAAAAAAATTGATTTATAACCATATACATATGTTGTTATATATTTTATAGTTAGTTGACACATTTATATTGGCTGATATTCTCAAAAATTGCTCCACATCTAAAAAATAGTGATATTTATATAAATATATATACATATACATATACATATATATATATTTATATATATACATTTGCCATTTATCTATGCTGTCTTTTATTTACTCTACTTGACTGTTATATTCCTTTCTGCGGATTTTATTTAATTTATAATGTTTTCATTCTGTTATATTATGTATGAGAGATAAAAATGTAAATGTATGTAAATACATGTATATCTATCGAAATACATTTGTATGTATATGTTTTTGGTTGTATGTATATTGTTCACAATATGAAGGTAATATGTCAATCGGCTCTCATTCGCCACGTTTCCCTGCCCTGCGATAATCACAAAACTCACCTGCAATGTTGCAATACAAATTTGTATCGTTATCGTTTCTCTGCTATCGTTAAAAAACTTATCTAAAATGTTCGCCCCACAATTCACCGGTATTTGTATTTTCAAATGTACGCGTTTATCCAATTTGTGTTTGCCGTGACAATTGTGAAAAGTGTTGAAAATGTTGCTATCAGAAATGCAAGTAGCCCACTGCAAATATACAAAACGAAACGAAACGATAATTAATGGTAAAAATGGATAAGAATTATGGAAAATTTATAGCTACATCTATATACTTTAGATTCACAATAATGGAAAAATGGCAAACAAGGAATTACCTGTTGTTCCGTCAGTCGCAGCCCGATTCCATCATCCACCACTGTCCGTCTACTTGCTTTTCTTAATTGAAAACTCACTTAACAAAGAGATCCTTAAGTGTGGCACACAAAGAGGCGTCACACGTATCCTTGGAATCATCCTCGTCGCCCTTGCTGAACCAGTTGAGCGTGGAGCGCATCGCACGTCCGGCCTGCGACTGAGCAGAGCTGGCAGCTGAGCTGACAGCTGACTGGCGAGAGCGTCGCCCACCACCGGAGCTGCCACTGGCGCCCGACTCCTTGGGCACGGCGCCCTTGCTGCTATCCTTGCCACCACCCGAACGGATGCCAGTTGATGTGGTGGCGCCGGCGGTATTGCCGCTGCTGCCAGCCATGCTGGCATTGGAGCTCTTCCGCAAAAAACCCTCGATGGCGGTGCCCAAAATGTTGGCATCCACAATATTCGCTTTGGTGGCATCAGCCCAGCTCTTCTTCTTGCTGCGCGGCTTTAGCTTCGGCTTGCCGGAATCGCCACCAAGTGGATCCTTCTTCTGCAGACGCTCTAACATATCCTTAGACAATGCCATGGCGCTGCTCTTGCTGCGCACGCTCTTCTTGCGAGGAGTAACTGGAGTCGTTTTCATCCCAAACCAACCCGAAATTGCGGCCGAGCTGTTGTCCTGGGCCTCGGTGACCAGCTGCTTGGCATTGTTCAATATGGACACATCAAAACTGTTCGAGCGTGTGGAGCGGCCAGCGTTCGGATCAAGCAGCATGCTCGATCCACCCTGCCCAGCACAAGGAGTGGGTGCGGCGCTGGTGGTGCGCCCACGTGCCGCCTGCTGGAATGTCTGGCTCAAAAACGGACTTGTTGCACTGTTGCCAGTGGCTGCCGACGAATGGCTGCTAGATGACCCACCATCTGGATCTGGACGGTGGCCAGGATCTGTGCCACCGCTCGTACCTGTCAGCGAGCTAAAAATGCCAGCCAAATCCGTGCGACTGCCAAGCAAACCCAATCCACTGCCGGACTTCTTGCGTCGCGTCGATGCACGTGCCGATGCCGGCATCTGTGGCGAGACACTCGGCGGATGCGGATACTCCGAGGCGCGACGATATACGTTGGCGCCACCAGCACCGGCCGGTGGGCACTCGGAGTATCGGCGATTGGTGTAGCGTTTGCCCGGTGCACCAGCTCCTGCCTCATCCACCGTCTGCACCTCGCACACCTTCTCATTGCTCGATGTCCAGAGCTTCAAGCGCGCCTTGCGCGACTGCAAATATATGTCATCCATAATGTCCAGCTGCAGATTATGAATGCTGCCAATGGGGTCTGTCGATGGCGGTCCTGTGTTGCTCTCTCGTCGCGAATTCAGCACTCGGCTGCTGCTGCAATATTCAATTGAAAAGGTCAACACAAAATAATAATTACAACAAATTCTATGTTTTGGGCTGTGTAAATGTAAAATTAACAAAATATACAATTTACAATACAAGCTTAAGCTAATTAAAGTCTTGACTTACCCATTGTTTGACGGATATGCGGCGACAGATTCGCGGCGAGAGCGTCCAAAAAATGTAGTTGGCACCTTCGAAATGGTGACCACCGAGTGCCGACGGCCCGACGGAGCTGGCGACTGCGAAAGCGTGGCCAAGAATGCGGCCTCTTTGGGCGTCGGACCGGAGCCCTCGCCGCCGCGCTCGGATAGACGACGCACCTGGCTAGCGGTGATGCCATCGGTCACCTGCTGTGAGGGCAACGAGTGTTTGCGGGCCTCGCGCGGATCACGCCACGGCGACAACAAATACGGATTAACTGGCGAATCAATATCCAAACTGGCGCGATTCGAAAAAGTGTCCGAACTCTCCGGCTCTAGTTCTTCCGGCAAATTGGATTCCTCCACAACAATGAGCGGCTCCTGCTGCAATCCGTGCCCGACATATCCCGGTGCATGTGGCTGTTGCTGTTGCTGCTGCTGTGGATGGGGATGGGGATGGGGATGGGGATGTGGTTGTGGTTGGCCCGGGCCACCATTGAAACGTACAAAGGTCGGACCACGCAAGCGAAGCGCATCTGTGCCAGAAACACACAAAAAAGAAAAGAATCAACAAAAAAATGAAGCACTTATAATTGGCGAAACGGAGGTAAAACATTTTCCCCCATGGACGTTCATTAGTGTTGTTGTCAACGTGCGTTGGCATTTCGCACACTTACCCATTTCAACAATTGCTCAATTGCTAGCCAGTTGGGAATTCGCTCGTCCTCTGTGCGTGTCCTTGCTGCAAAAGCCGAAAGGAAACCACGCATCAAATAAACAGTCAGTCAATGCATGGATATGTGGGGTGTGTGTGCGTGTGTGTGTGTGTGTGTGTGTGAGGCAGGTTAAATAAAGCCAGCTCGTATTCATCTCAGTCTGCTCATTATACTCGTTACAAATTGCAAATGGCAGGAAAATCATGCATCAAAGTAATTAAAGCTTTTGCGATGCCATCGACTGTCTTGGGATTTGATGGTTCGGCAGATCTGCTCCTGCTTTCGTATTGAATTCAAACTTGCACCCCCTTAGCTAGGTCCATGTATATATTTATAAATATACCTATATATATATACATATATATATATGTGTGTGTGTGTGTGTACAGAACGCTGGAGCCGTGCACACGCAGTCGCCATAATAAGCATAAAATTATGCAAAAGTTGAAATTACATTTTACCATTACTCAAATACCGCAAGGGTCGGTACCTGTAGCCATGGAGAGCTGCTGTGGCCCGGCCATTTCCATACCTCATACCTGAATTCCTTTAGTCAACTAACTAACCAGCTAACCAACCAGTTGCCCAGGGAACGACACTTCTTGCAACACGCCCGCTCATCACCAGAAGCAAGTTGTGCTTTGACGTCAGTTTTGAACATTAAATTGAGGCATGTTAGTTGGCACCAGTAGATGGACTTTGTTAGCGGCACACGGAATAGGGAATGGTTGGGGCATGCTACGCAGCAGGTGTAAATATTACAGCGTGCTTTGATAATTATAAAGTTTTTTAGTATTATCGCGAGCACTCTTGCTTATGTGTTTATCGTTAACAGAATTCAACAAATTAGCGTCTCAGCTAACAGCAAATTTCTGGCTTATGGAATCAGTTCGAAAGGTAAAACATAACAATATATATACATATATATATATATATATACATATAATCACTAATTAAAATTTGGTTTTCAGAATAAAGAAGAAGAAGCGTCAGCATTATGTTTCCAGAGCGGGAAAAATGTTGAATTTCTGTTATATATACTAACAATCCCAAATGTACATTAAATACCCAGAAAGAATGCTATTTGGTACTCGAATCAATTATATGCGGGACTCTCGGAGGATTCTGACACCGCTTTATACATTAATGCTGCATTCATTGTTTGGGAAAAATATCAAGTAGGTCAGCTGACCAAATTGGTTGCCTTTGTCAAGTTGGGCTGTAGTCGCGGTCCCATTAGGCTTCATAATTGGCAATCAACGGCAAAGTTACCGCTTTGTGTTAAGGTTAATTATACCGTCAATGCCCCAACAAAATGTTGCGGCCGGATGCAAGCACGCCCACAACAATGCCGCCGGCCAGGGCGACCTTTTGACATCTGTCACTTCCCTGCCCTGCCATGCGTGCCACAAATAAATGCATGTCCTCATTGTTCTGTCATGGGAGAATCACTGGTTTATGCTCATTCAAAATTGTGCGTCAACCTTTTTTTTTGCTCGGTCTTGTTTTTGGTACTTTACAAGGCAAAAGGGCAGCCAATTGAATTGCCTTAACTTGAGCATGCCAGGACGGATGCCTGATACACTCTCTCTGTATCTTTCTATCTCTTTGGCTATATTAAAAGTCACCCAGTTTCCCCATTCCGATTCCCCAGTCGTTGCACGCTCCATTTGCATATGCCTTTATTCTGTTGCGTCGTTTTGCATTGTGATTGATTGATCCTCTGAATCACTGACCAGATGTCAGATAAAACTATTTAAAATTATTGAGCGATGGACAGTTCTGTTGGTATATTGACAGATTGAAGCCGCGTTGACAGTTACTAGTTACTTGCCGTGGCCTCATTTGTTCAGTCCTCTCCTCTCCTGTCCTTTCCTGTTTCGTTCTTTCGTTCTTAGCTTATCCTCCCGATTCTATTGACCTGCATCCTGTTTGCCTACTCAATATAGATTCAATTAATGGACTGGCACAAAATACTTTTACAAATCACATTGACAACTACTATAAGTGAATACAAGCTTTGCGGAGCTTTATTTATATGTAAATACAATATATACATATTTATAGGTAAGTGTTTGGTGGCAAGTACTGTTCCCAAGTCCGTAAAATGAATTTGAATTTCCATAACTTGGTCAACACTGAATCAACTTCTTACCTCGAGGCCTGAGCTTGTTAGATAATGTAATAATTAAATGCAGTAATTGTTGCCCTAATAATACTCATGCATCTCATGTCATATGTCCATCACCATCAGGAACACGCAACAACAGACATAAATGCGGACAGGCACGCACCGAGATTCAGTTACGGACTTCAATTCTGCAATTCCGCAAAGCCATGACAACTGAAATGCAGAAGGGAAAAACTGGGAAAATGGCATATGTTCGGCACGCCGAATATAAAATACCCTTGTCGACCGGAAACAAATTGAGTCAAATTAAAAAACGGATCGACTGTTATTTTGAAAGATATTTGATGTACGAAATACATTCAAAGTTGAAATATATTTTTTAAATTGAAGGTTTTGGCTCTTAAAAAAAAAGGGCTTGCATTTCCTAATTTGGGCTGCCTTTTCTAAAATATAGGAAATAAATTTAAATATATTCCTTAATAATAGAGAAAAAATTACGATTTTTCTCTGAGTACAATATTCACAATACTATATTCTATACGTATTCCGAGTGTGATGATTTGTTCTCCACATTTGGGAAATATCATAATACGCATATTAATAAGATCTTTACTATGACAGCTATATGATATTGAGGGATTACTGATAGTGAGGGATTAGTTTGCACAGAAACAGACATGATGCTGATCAAGAATATATATTGTTTAATGCATTACACACTGCACGGCAAAAGCATTAGACCCACCACAAGGGCATAAAAAATTGCACAAGCAGAATGCGTTAGTGGTTTGATTGTTGTTGCCATCGTCCAGAGAGCCTGGACCCATCGACATGGGTATTGGGCAAGTAAAGACGGAAGATAGAAAAATAAAATTTGAAGTACAACAGTTCTTAAATTGTCGCTAACTGATTTCTCTATTTTTGCTCTCAGGTAGCCCATTTGGCTGTGGCTTCAACTTGTGCCATTTTATGAACAATTTGCCAAGAGGCTTTTCCTGGTAAGTGTCTGTATGTAATGTATGTATGTATGTATGTATGTATGTGTGTATGTATGTATGTATGTATGTATGTATGTATGTATGTACTATGTCTAACTGATATCAGCCAGCTGCTCGACTAGATGATTGTGCACAGAAATTGTGTCTGCTTGGCTCGACAACATTTTGCATCTATGTGTGTACAAGTACATAACTTCCAAACACAACTTTGAAAATACTTTCAAAATTTAAATCCAGTTTGAGTGCATTTGTGAGTGTGTGTGTGTGTGCGTGTGTGTGTTTATGGCTGTGAGTAGAAGGGTGTGGCCACTAAGCTTACCTAATTGCGGCTTTCCACACTGACTTTGCCATGCAATTTGGATTTTGGAGTACTCCACATGGTTGCATGGAGCAACGGTGCTCTGACATTTTCTACAATCTTGCGTCAACAAGCATGCTCATACTGCATACCGCAAAGCCTTAAAGCCGCTGCCTCCGTGCACAATCATTTTGCAAAACACTCAGCAGCAACAAGAATGAGAGTTTTTATGAGCAAACGCACACGCAGACTGAGATTTGGGGCTTGTGGATTATAAATCTGTAGTTACCGCATTGTATAAATGTATATATATATTTATATATATATGTATAAAATAAACCTTAAGTCGATTGCGTAACTACACATCTTAGCATAATATCAAATTCTGATACATTTCTCACAATGAACTTAAATATTAAACAAATAGTTTGATTCAATTAATACTTACAAATTCTTCAAATGTATACGTTGCGTATACGTAATGTGTATTAAGTTATGCTTTACCCTAACTCTACTTTGTTTTATACATTTATCTTACCTAACAAACCAATGTCCAATTTTGTAAGAAGCTTTAAATGCAATAATCAAATTATGTATACGTATGTTGGGGGCGCAAGGACATGCTGAGTGCAGCTGATGTGTGCAAAAAGCAATGTCAATGGAACTATTTGTTAGCTACGCACAGCTGGATGCTGGCTGCTGACTGCTGGCTGCTGATTGCTGGATGGTAGATGGTGAATGGTGAATGGTGGTGACCTTGGCTTTGAGCTGCCTTAGAGGAAGCTGGCCAGCACGTTGCCTTTTCAGCCAGCTGGCGCCCCTGTTGCGTTTGACACACAAAGGGAACTCAATAAAGCCACATGTCAAAGCAAGATAAAGCAAAACCAAATACTTTCAGGCCATTCCAGAGCTTGGTCCAACCGTGGGCAGTCAGCCCCACGGAATGGGCCACTATGTTGCAGGCCGCCCTTCTTTCGTTTGAACAACAATGCTATCGTTGCATAAAGCACAAATCGACTGTGCAACAGTGTCTCACATCACATTTATATTTTATGCTTTCTGTCAGTTGCATTGTTTTCACACAAAATACAAAGCAGCGCCAATTTAAAAAAACAAAAACAAAAAAGTAGCTGTAAATAGTTGCCACTGCTTTGTCTGCATTTGTTTGTGTGATATTGCTGGAAGGCATCCACATGCGTATGCGTGTGTGTGTGTGTGTGTGCTGCCATAATACATTAACGCGGCAAGCGGAAACGGATATGTCACACATTTGCTGCTGTTGGCAACATTGTGCATTGTGCCGAGGCAGTGGCTGCGGCCACGTGGACTCGAATGGGGAATGGGACGGAGACAGCCGCTGGCAGGAAGCGAAGCGAAAATAGCAATCAAAACTTAACTGAATTGCAGCACATGGCACAGCAGCAAACAGCACACACACACAGACACACACACACACATACACACACACACACACACACACACACACACATACACACTTTAACTCTTAAACGAATTAGCACGTAAATGCATTTGGCACTGCCAACACCAACAAGTGCAACAGCAGCATCACACAGCAACAGCAACAGCACACAGCAACAC